GGATTACTCTTTGACTCTGATTTAAAATTATACTGGAACAGTGCCATGTGCTTCACTATAATTACACTGAGAAAAGGCGTGATGAGCCACACCTTTTAATTTACCTATTTTTGAGGATTTAATTTTTGCGATTTTGTTCAAATTCACAAAAATTTTGGGCCACAGAAATTTCTAATTATACGGTACTAATTTTTGCAATTTTGCTCTTTTTCCCAATTAATAACTGTTAATAAACCTAAATTACTAATAAATGCAAGTACTAATTTTTGCGATTTTAAAGCCACTCGCAAAAAATGCAAAAAATTAGTACTCGCAAATAATAGTGGCTATATAGTATTTATGCTTGCGTTGCAAACTGCACTGCGTGTTAATGGTGTGATTTTAATTTTGTGACGGAGCAAAGAACCTTGAAGCATTAAAATTCACAAAAAAAATTTACCAAAAAATAAACAGACATACGATATGTATAATAAATATCTTTAGGTGAAAGTATTTGTAGAGAAACAGTCTGGTAGAAAATTTACGGAGTTCAAGGCCATTTCATTTCGCTCTCAAGTGGTAGAAGGAGTGAATTACATTATTAAAGTAAGAGATACTGTGGGGTCAGTGAGTCAAATGGCATAGATACCAGCACTAACCTGGGATCCTCCCTTAGGGTTAGGTTTGGTTAAGGGGTTGGGGCAATTTTAAGTTTAACCTTAATTTTGGTGATGAATATCCCAGTTGGTAATATTAGTGGGGGGGAGGGTTCATCTTAATTGTTGCATTTTGGAAAATGAATGTACCACAAGAAATAATCATAGCCTAACACATAAAGAAAGTCACTAATTAAATTAATAAATCCACTAATATTATAGTTGTAGGCTGTATAGCTGATGCTTTGCTTTAAGATTAAATAGACTTGATTTTGTATCTGTCAAATTATTTAGTATAGCTGCTTATTTTCAAAGTTGCTTTTTTACAATCCCTTGATGATAGATGGTGTCTTTGATTCTTTGCAAGTCAACCTATAATTTGCAAAAAGTGATCTGTGGTTTCATTGTTATAATAATCGTTACATTGATAATTATAATCTGTATTCCATAAGATATTAAATTTTATACTATTGCCGGTACTTTAGGTATGTGTTGGTGATGGTCAAAATGATTACATAATGTTGCGTGTCCATGAGAATCTTGATGGAGGGGTAACTCTCCTTGCCTACCAATTGGACAAGACAAAGGATGACCCAATTCTGATTAATTTCTGATCATTATTTTTTGCTGTTACATACATGTAACTGATTTAATCAATTCTAAATTCTAAATGTCATTACCTGTGTACTTAAGAGCTGTACTACTTATGCTGAAAAGATTATAATGGTGCCAAATGCTGCTTCTACTGCATGGCCTCATCACCTGTTCTCATATCGTGCAGATAAATATACCAAAGAACTCAGAGTCCCTGATAGTATTGGGAGATCACAGCACTCTCGGCTGACTTGGGATGGATATTTTCATAGGTGCTCACCTTCGCAGCTTCGGGACTCATTGAGTGCTGGGAATTATTTCTATAATGTGACTGGCTGTAATTTATCAGTATAGTTGGTTTCAGTTGAGTTGCCCAAGCACCATCCCTTATAACTTTTTTATTACTAATGCTAGCAACCTGAAACTTAGTATAGTTGCATAACGGGTTCTTCCGAAAATCTGTAGCAATTTTTGAGTCTCTAGGTACTCTGGAAGATTCTGAATGGGTTCTTCCGCTCTAGTTCAAAGGGGCCGCCATGATGAATCATTACGTTCAAGCTTACATCACACTCTTGAATATCATTTGCATCTCATTATTATTTTAACAAAATTAATGTTTTTTATTTTATAAAATAAAAACAGACAAGGTCCTCTAAAGAAGCAGGCATTCAACTAGCAGTCTATACTACTGGAAAACAGCTGCTATACCTGTCTACAGCCTTCTTGATCGCCGTTATTCTTCATTAGACTCAACCCGGCTAGCACCTAGGTTAGTCTCGCTAGCCAGACCATTCCCCAGCCTCCACCCCAATGACTGCAGGCTGGGGAATGGTCTGGCT